GAGGTCAACAATAAAGTGGACTCATTAAAAGAGTCAACTGTTAAGTTTGCTGATCCAAAGATGGACGCTAACTTGGGTTTCACTAAAAGTATAAAAAACTTGTCATGTGATCTACTCCCTCACCTAGAGGTGCATGCCAAGCAAGGTTCTCTCTCCCAAGAAGTCTCAGATAAAAAGCACACAAGTTTTAACTGTTATCTACAGCGGCATCAGATTACCTTACAAATTTTAAATAACCAAACGAATAAAGGGAAGTGGGGATTTAGAAATGCGGTTGTTCTTTCCCTTAGCCAGCTTCTTCGCTGTGAAAGGCAGCTGGTGGATTTGCAGAGGGTGGAATGGCTTCCCTCCAGACGGGCTTTTAAATGTATTTTGTTGACTATTAAACAACCCACTATAGCCAGTATGCTGTTTAAAATGAATTCCTTCCTTAGTGAATTTGGAATTTTTCCTATTCGCGTGTTTACTAAGGAGGGTATTAGTCCTTTAATAACTCATATTGGCAAGAAGAGCACTGCTTTCCACAAGCCTAATTGCAACGATTTTAAAGCTGTTAACTCTAAGGATGTTATCTCTCCCGCATTCTTGAGAAGTGGCAACTTGAAAAATCAACCTCCTATCCGGCAGCGTACTGAGATACTGGAGTCAAGCCTGATTCATTCTTTTTGTACTTTGCCAGAGCTAGAACAAGCGGGCATCATTAAAAGATTAGACGACCTGAAGGATCTTTTAGAAGTCACACGTAAAGCTGCAAAACCTTCCATAGAATTTGCTATCCCGGTTGCAGATGTTATTAATGCTCTTTCTGAGAATTCTGATGAAATTCCTCTTTATATAGATGCTGCAAATAATAACTCTGTAAAAGAGGTGTACAGGCGAGAAGAAAGGAGTGGTTGCTCAGTTACTGTGGAACAACAAATAGAACAACAAATAGAAATGACCTTGGAGTAGGTGTTGAACTGCGTCATAAGGAGGTTCCCACCTGCTCGTTGCTACTCCCTTTGGTCTCGGACACTATCCCACTGGGCCAACCTACAATGATACCTTTGCAACAGGTTGTTGGCCCTCAGAAGCATTTGGAGTCTGTTTACCAATTTGGCAGTCGTGAAGGCAAACATCTAACAAACCAGTGCGTCTTTTTTGACTCTGAGGGAATCTTGGATAATATTACTCCTGTGGAATGACTGGAAAATGTTAGTGTCCCTCCCAATGCTCACATTAATTCCCTCCCTATAATGACAAATGACAAGCAAGTAGATTATTTTCACCTATTGTCCTGGAATATTGCTGGCTGGAAAGCCAGAGCCATGGATGGTGACTTGGAGGATTTCCTGATAAACTTTGATTTTATAGCCCTTCAGGAGACCTGGCTGACCACGGATGAAGAACAGATCCATCTGCCTGGCTCTGATTCGTGGTCTTTTCTTGCAGTTAAATCTAAGACTAAAGGAAGGGACTCTGGAGGCTTGTCAATTTTAGCCAAAGCAGAGTTGGGCTGGCAAGCCCAGAAGCTTGGTTTTGGTGATGCTTCTGCTTCACATTTAATTGTCAAGTTCTTCTATGGCTCTTTCGGATTGATATTGCTGAATATATATATCCCTCCTCGCTCCTCCCCTTATCATACACCTCATATCTGGGCAAATTTAGAAGAGACAGTTATAAAATTAAATGTCCAACATCCTAACGTTACTATAGTTTTGGCAGGAGATTTTAATGCCAGGGTAGGGGCATCTTTACATAACTTTGTTTATTCTGGTGTTATTCCTGAGGATTATTTACTATCTATTACTCCCTGGCATTCCAGTGATTACATAATAAATATTGCAGGTACACAATTGGTTTGTATGATTTATAACTGTAATCTCTATATTATAGGAGGTAAGGACTATGGTTTTATATATCCTTTTACTTATCACTCAAGTAACTCCAGTAGCGTTCTAGATTATATATGTGTTTCAAGAGACAATATTATGGCCCATTATGACGATCTATGTCATTCATTGAAGAAATTTCTTACTGTCAAACTTCCGATAAGAAACCGCCAACAAGTTGGAGTTAGCTGGTTTGATTCTGACTGTTTGCACAGTAGAAAATATTTGAGAGCTGCAATGCGTAGAGTTCAGCGATGTCCCACCTCAAAAAACTATAGCAACATGTTGAAAATTAGGCGTGATTATAAGAAACCGATAGCATCAAAGAAGGCTTCCTTTAGAACTAAATTATGGTTGGACTTGGAAATTTGGGCAAAAGGGTCAAATTCAGCTTTCTTTTGGAATGCTGTCTCAGGTATATTGAAGGAATGTAAATTTTATTTTGATATCCCCATTCCTGCTTCAACCTGGGATAATTTTTATTCTAATCTTTTTAAACCCAATCAGGACTCTATGCATACCCAAAGCAATGATTTATTAACTTTAGAAAATCTTCCTATCTGGCCCCCTGTTTCTGTTTCAGAAATTAAATCCATTATTCGATCATTAAAAGCTAATAAGGCACCTGGTGAAGATTTTTTGCCCCCGGAATTATTTAAGACTTATATGGACTGGTGGGCGCCTTTGTTAGCAGGACTATTTACCTTTATAAACAATACTGGCCGCATCCAAATAATTACAGGCCAATAAGCCTAATTGGAATTGTTGCTAAAATGTATGCAAGGCATTTGTTGAGCAAAATTGAAATCTGGGTTATGGAGAATAATCTTTTGGCGGAGGAACAAGCAGGCTTTAGACCAGAGTGATCTACCATAGATAATTGTTTCACATTATATCATTTGGTAACAAGGTATTTAAAAATGAGTAAGAAATTATTCACTGCATTTATTGATCTAAGTGCGGCTTTTGATTCGTTAAACAGAAATATCTTGTGGAGGAAACTGGCAGACCTGAACATGGAGCCCCTTTATCTGGTTAGGGCCCTTTACTCAAACACCCATGTGAAAATCCGTACTGGCGTAAATGGAGCCCTGTCTAAGAGCCTACCTACCAATATTGGCGTAAGACAGGGCTGCATTTTAGCCCCAATGCTTTTCAATCTCTATGACAATGATTCACCAGGATTCCTGCATGCAGTAGATTTGCATATGCCAAAGATTCTTGATAAATTTATTAATACCTTTTTATATGCCGATGACATGGTATTAATGGCTCATTCACAAATAGGCCTGAGAAGACTGTTGCATAAGCTGAATACCTATTGTACTTTGAATTTCTTAAATATTAATAAAAGTAAATCCAAAGTGTTGGTTTTCAGCACAAAAAGTAGGAAATATAATTGGCAGATTAATGGGGAGTCAATCGAACAAGTAAATTCTTACACCTACCTAGGAGTGGTCTTTACTAATACAGGATCTTGGCTTAATCACTTTAAAAGTAGTGCATTAAGAGCTGAGATAAGCACCAAAAGATTATATAAATTATTTAACCATAATTACCCAGGCACTTTGACCCCTATGTTGAAAGTATTTAGGGCAAAAATAGTTCCAATGCTGACATATGGTGCAGAACTGTGGGGTTTAAATAAAGCCTCCCCACTTGAACAAACACAGACCCGCTTTTTAAGACACTTATTGGGGACTGATAAGAACACTTCTGCTTCAGCAGTCAGAGCGGAATTGGGTATCCACTCCTTACATAGCCACTTAATAATTAAAACATTTACATACTGGCTAAAGATACAATCAATGGATGCGGATAGACTTCCCAAACTATGCCTAACTGAACAGTTAAATAAGTTCCAATTTAACTCCTGGGCCAGTCAACTCCACAGAGCCATCTTAAGACATGGGTTTTCTATCCAATATTTATTGACAAGGGTTTCCCAGGCAAGGGAAATTTTTAAACAGAGAGTCTTGGATATTAGTGCCCAGACTGACATGGAATTATTAGCAAAAAACAGATCAATAAGATGGTTGGCTAAGAATAAAAACATCTTCCAACTTGAAAAATACCTTTCAATGGGTATGCCACAATTACAGAGAAGAGCCTATACCAGAGCCAGATTTGAGTTACTGGATTCCATGTCCAGACATGGGCGCTTCCACCATGTACCATACCACGAGAGAACCTGCTTATGTGGTTCATCTGCCATTGAAGATATTTCCCACATCTTCTTCAACTGCCAAATATATGCCCCCATTAGGCTTAAATATTTTATCATTTCTACTGGAAAGAACAGCCCATTGGGAATCAAACCACAGATTGTTATATTTCCTCCGGGCCTCTAATGTACACATTGTCCGTAGGACTGCTAAGTTTATAATCAAGGCAGCGGTCCTAAGAACCCAATATATTGAACAAATTGGTGTATCCTGCAAGGGTGATCTATTATCCGATTTTTGACTCCCTGGTTTTCCACATATGTTTTTATTATTGTATTCTTATATATCTAACTTATCTGTATTTTGTCTTGTTATATATTTATGTTATGTTACTGATAAGGTCTTATGACTATTCAATAAACCTCTTACTATCCCATACTTTGTAATGATCCGATTCATCCTTATTTTTTAATTCTTTTGTCAATTTGTCCATTTCTGCGTGCATCCAAATTTTCCTAATTATTTCTATTTCACTTGGAGTTTCTTTACATTTCCACTGTTGTGCACAGGCCAATCTTGCAGCAGCAATTACATGAATTATTAGGTATATAATATCTTTGTCGTATTTTCCACGTTAATTCCCAACAAGAAAATTTCAGGTCTGTATTCTGTTTTAATCTTACACATCTCTTCTAACCATTCTTGAATTTTCTGCCAAAGCTTTTGGGCTTCTTTACAATTCCACCCTAAATAATACGCTCCATTTTCCTTATTGCACTTCCAACATGCAGGGGAAAGATTGGGATAAATTTTCGCCAATTTTGATGGCGGCAAAGGTGAAGGCGCTTTTAAAGGGATTGCTAAATTTGTTGCGACTCCTTTTTTTTTTTTTTTTTTCTTAAAGGGACATCCAGATTTTCTCGGTCTTTACTCTTTCTCTCTCTCTCTCTCTCCTCTTCCAAAGATGCAACCTTCAAACGCCTCCAGATGAGCCCCAGCCGCCCCCCAACGAGGAGGGCTGGAACAACCTCCGTTGCACCACGATAAAGAAGGAAGAGAAACGGGTGCACTTCAACATTGATAACGCCCCGGAGGAGGCCTCCGAAGACGAGAGAGCAGGGCCTGTTTGGCACTGCATGAACGGCCAGGATCCCCAGCAGGACAGCAAGGAAGCCAAGGAGAAGGAACTGAAGGAGCTAGAGAGCAAAATTGAAGATATGCGAGAGCAGCTGAGGGTCGCCCTGGTGCGGAAGAGTGAGCTCATGGTGGCCCTTGGACCGCCCCCCAAAGCTCCTCGGCTGCCCCCTGCGCTGAAGGCACTGATCAGGGAGAGCAATGAGGACAGGTGATGGAATGAGGAGGGGCCTCCAACTGGACTCTGCTTGGATTCCTGTTCCTAGTGAAGAATGCCAGCGCAAAGAGCAAAACAACAGAAGAGTAGATTCTGGTCGGGAGGTGTTTTATTCTAGCTTTCCCTGCCTTCCCCAGATCAGTTTTCATCCAAGGGGCCCGTGTGGGTTGCTGCTGGTCACCCTTATTTGCATGTGGAAAGTCCCACTTCATCCATGTCCATTGGAAAAGCCACCAGGAGGAGAAGGACAAGCAGGCAGGGCCAGGGACGTTCAGAATCCGAATTAATTAATTCACGAATGTTGTTAAGTTAACCTTTACATTCAGCAAGTTGATCCTGACTTTTCTGTTCTGTGGGGTCCTGTTGCTGATTTTTGGCACAGATCTCTTGGGCGACTTAGGAGCACACTTCCGGAGCTTTCGCTCGTCTTTTGAACCTTTAGCAGGCAGGCACGATTTGTAGGAAGCTTCAAAGAACAGGAACCGCTGAATTAAGAGAAGGCTGGGAGAAGGTACGGGTGGAGAACGGGTTGTCTCCGGTTTAAATCATTGTAAAGCAAGGTCAATTGCAGCTTCTCTGCCGGGGACCCTGAAGCTCGTTGACCCACCACAGCCAGCTAGTCTCCAGGCTGCATAGCCCAAATTATGGGACTTGAGCTCAGCTAGCCACGTCTCAGGTGCAGCCACAGCTGAGTGGAGTTGGAGGGGGGTGGGATAGGCATTCACTTCCTGGTACCCTCAAACGAAGTTTGTGTTAACCTTGGAGCAGCTTTTGGAAGACAGGGTAGGCAACGTTGAGCCAAACGATGCAACATTCCATCTGATAAGGTGCTTTTCTGAGGTTAGCTGGAGGGGGGTCATCCTTTAGTGGTACAGCACAAAGCTGATGAAGGACCACGTGGAACAAGCAGGGGAGAGACTCGATTCTTGGAAAGAGGTCTGTTTACATGGAGGGAGCAACGTCCCAGCAGTTGGGAGGCCCTGGGAGATCTCCCGTGGGACAGCACAACCAAAGATTGCAGTAGGTAGCATTATGGCATCACCAAAGTAGACAGAAGTAGGATTCCTGGAGGAGGGGAGAGGAGAGGAGGAGAAGAAAGGAGGGGAGGAGAGGAAAGGAGAAGGGAGAAGAGGGAAGGAGAAGAAAGGGGGGGAGGGGAAGGGAGGAGAGAAGGTAAGGGGGAAGAGAGGGGAGGAGGGAAGAAGAGGGAACGGGAAGGGAGGAGGGAAGGAGAGGAAAGGAGGGGAGGGGAAGGGACGAGAGGGGAGGGGAAGGGAGGAGAGGGAGGGAGGAAAGGAAGGGAGGGGAAGAGAAGAAGGGGAGGGGAGGGGAGGGGGAGGGAGAAGAGAGAAGCAATGGGGAGAGGTCTGATATTGGGTAAGCCTAATAGAAAATTTATATGCTCGTGGAGTGTATTTATTATTCCTTCCATCATTTTAATTTTATTTTTCAATAATTTTACACCAAAATTTTGTCTCTGTAACTTTGAGAGGGTGGGCAAAAGGAATTGCTTCAGGACCTCCCTTTCCCCTTTGTCTTAGCGGGTGGAGTCAGGATCTGAGGCTGAAAGAAACTTCTGCCAATGGGACTCAGGACAAGGCAGATGGGCTCCATGCTGGCCTCCTCTCTCCTGAGCCAATTCTGGATTGGACAGAGCAGCTTTCCTGGAACCAGATGGAAGCTTAACAAAGAGAAACCCAGCCTAGAACTAAGGAGAAATTATGGGAGTTGCCACCTCCAGCACATGGAGTTGGAGCAAAGAGCTAAATTTGCAGCCCCTCCAAAAATGTTGCCTTGTATTGAGTCCTGCATCCTTTGGCTACAAAAAGAGAAAGATAGCTGACTTTCGTCTTTAAATATCCCTGGCAGCAGAAAATACAGGTAGTCCTTCATTTAATGACCTTTCAGAGTTACAACAGCATTGAAAAAAAGTGACTTGTGACCGTTTTTCACTCCTACGACCGTTGTAGCATCTCCATGGTCACGTGGCCAAAATTCAGGTGCTTGGCAACTGATTCATATTTATGTCCTGGGGTCACGTGATCACCTCTCGCGACTTTCTGATAAACAAGTCAACGGGGAAGCCAGATTTTAACGATCATGTTACTAGCAACTGCAGTTATTCACTTTACAACTGTGGCAAAAAGATTCGTAAAATTCGTAAAACACTCCCTTTACAGCTGTCTTGTTTAGCAACAGAAAATTGGGGCTCAGTTATCAAGTCAATGATTACCTATTTTGAGCTAGAGATCCATCTCAACTCTGCCTTTCCTAAAAACTGTCCTATTTAAATAAGCTTTTCTTCCTTTAGAACCCAGATGGGAGTAGTATTTCATTCTGGGCAAGAGAAACAAACTTATGATAGACTAAACCAGCTTGGCATGCACAGCCATCCTTAGGAGGCAGATTGGTATTACAGCTGGGCAGATTTCAAGTTAAAAGGGCAAAATCTGAATTCAGAGCACACACACGCGCGCGCGCACACACAGGTCCTTGTGTAGGCCCTTATCAGGGTCACCTTATGCTAAATGTCTTCTTTCTCACAATTACACAGCAGCAGGAGTAGGCAATCACATCAGTCCAGGGCAAAGTGCAGCTACTTTCATTCTTCCCAGCAGGTGCGATGTGTGTGCTGCAAACACAGCATTTGCCATTTGAATTCAGCTCTGCATAGCTCTACTTCATATACATAACACCAAGAGAGGCAAGAGAGAACAATCACCTTTTAAAGTATTTTTTTCTTTCTTTCTTTCATAAAGCATGAACAGGTTGGAAACCAAAGAAATACATCAGGTGTGCCTGAGAGTTTCCACATAGGGCCTTTTCAGAGATGACATTTCCCCACAGATGATCTAGCATGAGGCATTTTATAAATCTTACAAATATATTTAAAACCAAATAAAATACATTTAAATGCCAAGTACCAATCCCGAAGCCCCATTTTTTTCAAAAGGAATTTGCTGAAAATTAAAGCTGGGATGGTCCTGAGGTATGAAACCAAAGTTTAAATACATCTTTATAGGTTTGCATCATCAGCCACATTGGGGTTCCCCTTTGGTATTTATTTTTGGGCAGTGCAAATTCAAGCGAGTTGGTGGATATTGCAATAGGTCTTTTAACATTTCTATGCAGAACAGCCTTCCAAAATTTGACGCCCTTTAAGATATATTCCATCTCCGTCAACCGTCCAGTTCCCATCTCCGTCAACCCATAATGTTCGGAAATGATGGGAAGTGTAGTCCTACAGATCTAGAGGGGGCAGGAATTGGAAGAATGCTGAACTGAGTTACTGCTCCATTTTTATAACAAAAAAATCCTGTCCTCGTAATTTTATTTACTTTAAAAACAAAATTAGATGGGTAATGGACTAAGAATCAAAAGAGGAATTAAAACATTGTCATCTTTAGAAAAATGGTGTTGTTTTTTTTACTTTCTTGCATTCTAGAAACTCAAACTTTGCTTTGGATATTCCCCAAACGATCCTGTATTCCTCACAGCCCAATATCTGGGGCGGGGAATGGAAAAATAAACTAAGCTGGATTCTCCAGTTCAGAGAATATTTTGTGAACTCAATGAGTAGATAGACACCTTTTTGGAGAGATTAGTTCGTATTAAGAGCTTCTGGAGCAGGAGTTTGCAATATATTGCCAGCTGAGGGTCCCATTTGGCTTTTTAGTGGCGAGGCTGGGCCAGGCCTCCAAGGCAGACGGCGCCAGGCCAAGACGTGGGGGAAGCCAGCACAAAAATTAAATCTGCTCTAATGCAAAATTAAAATGAGAGAAATGTCCTGTTTCTCTCGCATTATCTGTCGGTAAACCGCTGAAGCCCTGTTTTCCGGAGCCTTATTCTCAACCTCTGGAGAGCGACTGAATTCCAGGATTTGGGAGGGGAGGGTGACAGAGGCCGAGAGCGGCCATGCTGAGCAGGAGGCAGAAGCCATTCACGTGGGGATGGGCAAATCCAGTAGCTGGAGCAAGTGAAATCTTAAGAATTGTAAAGGAAACAGAGCTCTCTAAAAGAGACCTTCCTACCAGGAGCAGCTGAATCTCTACTGGTTGCTCTGCGTTTTGCTATGGTGCTGGCATTTGAACCCCCTCCCCACGTCCTCCCAAAGGGTATAACTGACAAAAGGAGAAGGAGCAAGCAATGATTAAATACAGTATTTATACAGTATATATACTATATATATATATATATATATGTACACACATACAAACATTTTGTACATTAAACAGAATGAACTCTATTAATGTGATTTAGTTTTGATTCTCTTTCTTCCATCCAATTCTGCCTCCCCCCCCCAAAAAAAAAAAACCCCGCTCAAAAGCGGAAAGGCCTGAAGTCTGACCAGTTACAAGCGTCTTCGGCCACTGATCTGGGTAGAGAATCGGCACACGGCCAAGAACTCAACTAATCTATTGCACAAGAATGGGCCACCCTCGTTGGGGGAAGGGGAAGCGCCGGCCTGCCATTTTGGGTTTTGGTTTTTTCCATTTCCAAACCAAGTGGAAACCAAAACCACTTGCACCCTGGACTGATCTGCCATCGGCTTCTCTCCTTTGTGGCACCCAACATCAGGTTGCCTGTCCCAGAGATGTGATTCTTGCTCGGAAGGTCATAGAAGGGAGTGGTGGGGGTCAGAGACTTGGTGTGGGGGTGTCTGCTCAGTTTCTTACTGCCCCCTCTCCCCCCAATCATTCCTCCCTCTTGCCAGATTTGGGGAGTCTACGGAAGGCACTGGGGAACCCCATTCCAAAGCCAACTATGGAAACGGGCTGCTCCCACTCGATAGGAGAAGCGTCATTCTGGAAAGGAAGAAGTGTGACCCTCCCGGTAAGCGGTCATGCTGGGGAAGCAACTTCCTCCTTGGAGGAAGTTCAGTATTAGCTAGTCAAAGGCGTCACATTGGAAAGATGCGGCGGCTGAAATCCGGTCAACCCAGACAATGCAATCATCCTCATTTAAGTGCATAAGCAGCAGCGGATGGGAACTCTTTGGATGAATTGACAAAAAAATATATATCACTTTTCAGCCGTTCCTCTGGCTCTTCAGGCAATGTTTCTCAACCTTGGCCATTTTTTAATACTTCAATTCCCAGAATTCCCCAGCCAACCGGCTGGCTGGGGAATTCTGGGAGTTGAAGTCCACCTGTCTTAAAAAGTGGCCAAGGTTGAGAAACAGTGCTCTAATGCATCCTGCCCGGTCCATTTTATTAGCTCCTCTCTTTCAACTCAAAAAGAGAACAATTCTTTGCCTTTCAATTCTTTGAAAGCGTGTAACTCGCACCAACTCAGAACTGTCGTAAGCCGAAGCAAATTCTGAACGGCTCTGTTCATCCAGCCACCTCCCCACGAGTGCAAAGGGCCCACAATCTCAGAGTTCCTGCACATTTGTTTTCAACCCATCACTGGGCTTCTCCCACTTGGAGGCTAACTCAAGAGAAGGTAAAAGGCAAAGAACCACCGATCGGAAGGCTGTAGACTTTTCATTGGGGCAGGCCCACCTTAAAGGAGAGAATCACTTAAGACTCTCAAGTTATTGAAGAAAAAGATCTGGGTTCAAAGGACCTGGGGCGGGGGAATGGGGCAAGATACTGTGTCCTGGCCCCCTCAAGCCTGTTGTATTATTTAAATAATCCCCTACAACCCTTTTTAGGGAAAAAAAAGAGAGAGAAATTAACATGGTGTTTGTACATAAGCAGATGAGGAATTTTTTTTTTTTAGGACTCAAGTATTAAGACCCTTCCAATAACAATTCCCGTCGATAATTCCGGAGCCAGTTCATGCCAACTTTCCACGCTGCACCTTCTGCTTAAGGATCCATTTCTCTTTATAATCACCACACCAGGGTTTCTGGCCTTTATCATCCCCCACCCAATTCCAAGGTGCATCCACAAAAACAACTTTTGTCATGATACCCGTTCTTTCTTTCTTTCTTTTTCCTCCCCCCCTCCCCCCCCACTTCTAAAGCACCCTTTCAGACAAAACTGAATGCCAACAGACAAGGATCTAAATGCAAATTAGGATCTCCAGCAGATACTCAGACGGAGTCCCCATGATTCCATGCAGTCTGGGAAAACGGAGGGTGGAGGCAGAGATGAGAAATTGGGGCTCAACGCAATTCACTGACAAGAGATGCGGAAAGCCGCTTCTTTAACAAAAAGATTCGATTCCGACGACGCAGGGACCGACATCTACAATCGCTTCCCCCTTCTTTTTATTCAGCTTCTCCTCCCCCCTCCCCCCCCAATTTCCTTTCCTGGTACTTGGAAGGCAGGAGAAAATGAGGCCTCTCCCTTCATCTTATGTTCTAACTCTGCCTCTTTCTTCTCTAAAAGAGGAACTCGGTGTGGAAAACGAATTGATGCCATCGGAAAGCCGCCCAGCCTCCTGCGGCAGAAGGAGTTCCGGGAGGAGAAGCAGCAGGGACTTCCTGGGATCAGGAGATCCTATTTTCTGGGGGGGGCGGCGTGGGATCCCTCTCGGCAGGCCTTTCGGAGGCCTGACTCAGGAGTCCCCTTAAAGCCAAGCCTTGGGAAGAGTCTGTCTTCAGAGGCTCAGCTCGGCCTACCGAACTCTCTGACGGCTGGGGAACGTCTTCCAGCTCTGACTGGGCCGTGGCGGGAGAAGGTGTGTTGGTCACAGAGGTCCCAACGGTGGGCGTTCCCTCAATCGTGACGGAGCTCACTTCCGTACGGTCACTACTAACCAAACTTTGGGTCGCAGGGTTCGAGGCGGGCTCCAGGTCCTGCAAAGTCCCTCCACTAGTCACAACGGCCGGAGGGGCCCCCGAGTCCAGAAAGGAACTGCCCAGGTTGGAGAGAAAGGAGGCTTCTGTGATGACAGCGGCTGTCTCTGCCACCCAATTCAAGTCATTCCCGAGGGAGACGCCAGCGCCGGAGGCCGGGGGGCTGTGGCCTTCCCCAGAAGCTGGGGAGCCATCTCCTGCCCCGGCTGTGCTGGCGTCCAGGTGGGGCTGCTGGTCGGCCGAACTGGTGGCCGCCACGGTTGTGTTGTTGTTGAGGTTGTCCTGGAGAGCGGTCTGGGTCCCCACCTGCTGGTTCTGGAGCAACATCTCCTGGATGCGGATCTGCTGGAGGATGGCTGGCAACTCGTAATGGTGGAAGAAGTAGATCATGGAATGCTGCCAAGGAGGGGAAGAGAGGAGCAGGAGAGGAGAAAAGCTTTAGATACCTGGGCTGAGCAAGAAAGTTCTCCCCTCTACACACACACACCCCCAACCTCCCAAAATGTATAAATCAATCGCTCCTCCTCGAGCTTTAAAGAGAACCGGTGTGGTGGTTAAGGTGCTGGGCTAGAAACTGGGAGAGAAGGAGGTCTAGTCCTGCCTTAGGCAACAAAGCCAGCTAAGTGCCTTCTTAGGAGCCGTGGTGGTTAGAATGCAGGATTGCAGGCAAACTCTGCCCATAGCCAGGAGTTCAATCCTAACAGGGCTCAAGCTTGAGCCATCTTTCCATCCTTCCAAGGTCGGTAAAATGAGGACCCCGATTGTTGGAGGCAGGAGGCCGACTCTGTTAACCGCTTAGAGAGGGCTGCAAAGCACTACAAAGCGGTATGTAAGTCTAAGTGCCCTTGCTATTGCTTTGGATGATCCCTCTCTTTCAGCTCAGCCCATCTCAAAGGGCTTTTCTCGTGGGAAAATAACGGGCAGGAGCATTACATATGCCACCTTGGGGTGTTGAAAGTGAAGGTGGGATCACAGCAGTTGTGCATTATCTGCCACCCAAGTAACTTAGATGCTGTTAGGAAAGGCCAAATTCCCTACCCTGCATGAAACATTCCACTATGCCCATTTCTGCTCCAACTTTATTGAAGGCAGTTGGTGAAGACTGAGTGGGATCCGTGTCAGCAAAGCAAGATCATGAGCCTGCAATCCTAACCATCTTTCCTGAATCAGCCCCGGCCCAGCTATTCTCTTGGCCCTGCGATGATTCTCAAAATGAAAGCAGCACAGCCAGTGCAAACCACTAATTTTCTGGCTAAGATGGGGAGAATCGTTGCAGAAAATTCTCCGTCAACTACTTGCCTTGCCTTTTTGTGTCCCACAACCCAGATTTTGGTCTTTTACGAGAGTCTAGGTATTCAGGAAGACAAAATGACAGCTGGATAATTTCTGAGATTTCAAGTCTGTTATTTACAGACTTGAAAGCCAAAGGACTAGAAATTTGGCAAACAATGTCTGAAATAGCATTTTCTCAGTGGAGGCTAAATTGTAGAACGGATTCTATCTTTTGAAATCTGTCATGCTTTAGGGGTTCACACAATGCTGTACGGCCTTGTTTAGAGCCAGAAGCGTACCTGTATGAAAAGCCACGAAGTTACCAAGGCTAAACTGCTATATTGCCCATTGAAGCGATAATGGTAGGCATAGAAGGCGAAGTGGTACAAGTAGAAAAACCTGGAGAGAGACAGAAATGTAAATATGCAGGCACACTCATTTACATACAATATTTACACAATCCCTGGTGTTGTGACTCCGGGATTTGAATCTGGTCCGTTAGCAGATGTGAGCTCGAGTGAAGAGGATCTGGCACTGAGATTCGAACCTGCATTATTAAGTGATTTTGAAGGTAGCCAGGATGAGGAAGTGGACTTAGTTATGAGAGACGAACCTAATTTATTGGAGGTGTCGGAGTCCTCTCCTTCCCCCGAATCTCCCTCTCATTACACAGCAGCCGGTAACAGATAATCAGGAAAACGTGCGAGAGGTTTCAAGTGAGGAGGGGGACTTTGAGGGATCCTGGCTTGACGTGAGAAATAGACGGAGATTGAGACGTCAATCTCAATTGGGAAAGAAGCATCAAGCCAGTGATTAATTAATGAGACTAACACACCCCCATAGGGGATAAAAGGAAACGGATTGGCTTGAGAAATTTGCCAGAAGCAAAGTTAGAGCGAAAGTACTGTGAAGATTATCTGAGACATTGTGATTTATAGACACTTCAGGATTGCCAAACAGATTTCAGAACTACTGCTGAGGACTGGAAAAACCTCAGCCGTTATCTTTGTTGGGGTTTGTTTTTGGTTGCTTATATTTTTGGAACTTTAGTATTTTGATTGCTCACCTGTGGATACAGGTGAGACATAACACCCTGGTTTACTACCATTCTGAACACAAATGGTTGTATTTCCCCCACCCCCCACTTCGCTTCAGAGAAGTGTAAAAGTGAACAGAGAGAGAGAGAGAGAGAGAGAGAAACAGCCCGGTCCTATAATGAATGAGGGGTGATAACCAGGGCAGGGAAAGGGCAGGGCTGCTGCTGAGAAGGGAGACGATGCCGGAGTAGCAGAGATTTAAGGAGTCAAACTGGCCCTGGGAGGGCCGCATCAACAAAGATTGCCTCCAATCTGGGGGTGGGGAGGAATGAGTGACACTAAAAGATAAGACAATCCATCAGACAAGGTGGAGTTAGATGAACATCTAAGTGCTTCCCTGAATGGAGAATGGCCATTCTGTGACTCGTTAAATTGCTTTTCTGAAAAACCCTAAAAGACAGTTTGGTCTAGCGGTTAAGGAACCAGGCTAAAAACCATGAGTTCTAGTCCCGCCATAGGCAGAGAAAGCTGGCTGGGTGACTTTTAGCCAATCACCAGGAGACTGTGAGTTCTAGTCCTGCCTTAGGCATGAA